ATTAGGGGAAGTAGGTAGCAGTTTTTTTTTATAATTATATTAAATATTTAGTAATCTATATAAAATTTTAATTCTTTTTCTAGCTTTTATATAAAAAGCACTGGGGCTGCTGCTGAAGAGTAACTAACTTATATAAAGTTCTTTTCTAGTAGTTTAATTAGTTCAGACTGTAAAACTATTAGTTCTTTTTAAAATATATTATAAAAAGGGCCCTATAAAACTTCTGGCTTTTTTCTATTCTGGTATATAAGCTTAATTTTATAGTTAATACTTTTTTTTTAGTATAGCAGTAGTTTTTCTGCGTTCTCTGATTAAAAAAAAAGCAGAAAGTTTTAATAGTATTTAGAAAATATTATATATAGATTGACTGTCTTTTTAGTTTAGAGTACTTTCTAAATATTAGTAAATAAGACTATAAATACTTTTATACTTTTTTTAAATCTTTTCTATAAATAGTCTCTAAGTTCTATTTTTATAATTAGCTGAAGTTTTAGGTTTGTATATTATAAATATAATAGATCTTTTAATCTTATTTTAGTTGTATATAGAAACAATTATTCTCAGCCCGGTTTTAAAATACTATTATAACAAAACAGCCAGCTCTTTCCTAGAATCAGGTTATATCTAAAATTATTAGATATTATATAAAAGTACGCTTTTTTTTTAGTATAGGATTCTATATTTATTTTTATTTATATAATAAAGTGGATTAGTATTTTATTACCTAAGATTTTTTATACCAGTCTTAGATTAATACTAATAGTTAACAGGCTATTTACTTTAGCAAACATTTTACTTATAATACTATAGATTAGGTATTCTAAGTTAATAAGAGTACAGGCAGTTATAGTAAGATCTAAAATAGCCTCTATTAAAAAAAGGCGTACAACTATATATTTTTTTTTAAAACTTTTCTATTTTCTTTTAGTTTTGTCCAGTAATTCTTATCTAGATATATAATTTTATATTAGACTTTTTTTTTTCCCAAGTCAGAGTCTTTGTCTGATAAGGAATATTATTTTTTTTATTACTAAGAAGTGGGCATAGCTGCGGCTATACTTATTAGTTATACAGCAGATTTTAAAAAATATTAGTAGATAAAATATTTATTTTACCTACAACAGAGGTAGCAATCTACTTTATATCTTTTCTATATTTTACTAGATATTACCTATTAAGTCTGTTTCTAAAAGTTGTTGGTTGTTAAGTAGGAGTAGTATTTTTCTTACTATACAGCAGCTATCTAAGTAGGTTTCTACTTTATTAGTTTAGGACTTGGTTTGTATTGTACTGGCACAGTCTTAGTATAGCTTTTTTTAAAAAAAAAATACTCTGTTAAAATTATGGTTTATACAGTACAGTTAGTTATAATATTTTTTATATATAGGCTTTTAAAGAATTCTAACTAATTTTTTAATAAGCCTTTAGTTTACTGTAGTATTCAGTATGGCCTTTTTTTATTTATCCGACTAATTATATCCTCCTGCCTATAGCAGGACTTTGTTAAAGTTATTTAAAAATTCTTTTAATTTTATTCTTTTTTACTTTATTATATTAATCTGGTTTAAAGCTTTTTATTATATATTAGGATTTTTAAATACTTTATTTATTACTGCAAGTATATTCTCTAGTTGTACTATTTCTATATTTTAGAATTTAATCTAAAAAAAAATCTGTTGTGCTGTACGTCTGTGTAGTCTACTATAAATATAAAAAACTTATTCCAGTCCAGTAGGGTAGCAGTTTCTGTTTATTACAAACTTTATATATATATTTAGTTTAAATAGTTTATAGTTATACTTATCTTTCCTATTAAACAGCTTTATATTAGGGTGTTAAGGGTGGGGTCTATAGTTTGGTTTATATAGTTGCTGTAAAGGGTTTTTCTTTAATTTACTATTAATAGTAGAAGTTATATTATAACTCTGTAATTTATTTATCTACTTTTTAAAAACTAGTTTCTGTTTTATTATTTCCGCACAGAGGCTGATTAGCTTCTATAAAAGAAGTTGTATATTATTATATATAGCTGCAGACACTACAGTCGGCCGCAGTCCTTTTTAGTCTATTTATTTTATTATTTTAATAATTCTTTTAGTTCTATTCCATTCTATTTGTATGCCTAGTCGGGCTCTGTCTAGGGCTTTTTTTAATAAGCTATTTCTAATATTACGGGACGGATGGATTGTACTAATCAAAACGTGCCTTAAAACAAGAAGAAATAGCTGAGGAGCTATTTCACCTGTTCGTACAAAATTCTTTTATATGTGCGCTAAGCTAGTGCTAGTTTAGTACTTAGTATGCAAGGCCTCAGGTGCCAACTGGTACCTGAAGCCGAGCTCTATAACAGGGCCTTAGTCCCATAACATAACCACTCTTTATATAGCTAAATCCAGTTTTGTCTAATAATTATTTTTATATACCTGGATATTTTATATACTATCTAAGATGTTTAGATTTAAATATATATCCTCTAAATTACAGCTAAAACTATACAACTTATATAATTTATTAACCTTTTAATAGTTCTTTATTTTACTAACCTGCAGATACCTGCAAAAAACCTATACATTAAATATCTAAATCCATACCAAACCTGCGGGTTAAGCTTATTGAACTAAAACCCGCCAATAAAACGGGTTGGGTTTGGACCCAATCTGTGGAGCTACAAAAGTTAGATGATGCAGCTGGGCAAGAATTCCATTTTGAAAGTAAAAATGGAGGGAGGCCCTCCGGGCCTTCGATCCGCGCTATGTACATATATAGCCAACTTGATGCCTAAGGCATTTTAGCTGACTCATCTGACGGGCTACGGCACCCATCACAACCCATGAACCCGCGGGCTTTGGCGAGGCCTATTTAGTAGTATGTGATATACTTAATCTTTCCAGATTACATTGTTTAAAGTAACCTTTGCCATATATGGCTTGGTGATTTACTATTCTAAGCTATATTACATTATGGGAAGATCTTATTACATCCAGTATACACTAAGATGATTATTGCAGTTCAATAACCTTTGGTATATAGCTCTGTACACTAAGTTATTTTCGGATCATACTGGGCTGGGCGGCCTACATCCAGCTCTGACTTACTAAGCATACATTATTGGTATCTTTGGTCACCCGTAGAATATGTGCTAAATCGACTGTAGCACCCGAAAGCTTCCTTACTGACCTCACTTACTTCAATTATCCTTCAAGCAGCCAACACATCTCTCTATTCCTTCCTGTCAAGGACAGATCTAGCCACGCACATAGCATGTCTCGTCCTGGCACTACCTTATATGTCACCGGCTTCGGGCACGGGACTCGAGCTCGCGACCTTGCCTACGAATTCGAACGGTACGTGCCGCTCGTCGATTGCCTACTCGCTACCATATCCAACGACTCGTCTCCTCAAAACGCGAAAACACTCAACGGAGTCTCCCAATATCGCAGGCGCAGCTGTCCACTTTTCCCCGTTTCAGAGAGATTCTCTTTCTTTGCTGCTCTGTGGTAGTGCTGTGAGCGGAACTCTCCGCCTAACCCAATACTACCACCATTTACCTGTTCATTTTTCTTACTCAAATTTTCATTGTAATGAGTTTTTGGGCTTCAATTGTTCTGACCTTCCTTGTAGGTATGGCCGGCTTGTGCGCTGTGATATCCCAGCACCGCGAACTCCGTCGAGCAGACTGTATGTCATCAAGGCCCTCTACACTCTCCACCTTGACTTACCATAGCAGGTTTGCTTTTGTGGAGTACGAGAGTCGCCGTGATGCAGATGATGCCTATCATGAGATGCACAATAAGCGGATTGGCCGCGATGACTTACTGAAGATAGAGGTTTGTCAATCGGCTGCCGACACCATCGAAACTACTCAGCTAACATGTCCAAGTGGGCTCGTACTCCTCCTTCTGCCTCCTGGCGTTTCGACTCTGGTCGTGACCGTCGGCGTGACCGTACCCCTCCCCGCCGTGGCCGCTCTCCTTCTCCTCGACGCAGCCGTGGCGACTATTCTCCACGCAGGGATGAAAGGTATGACCGGGAGTATGACCGCCACGATCGTGACTACGACCGTCGCGACCGTGATTATGACCGTCGAGATCGTGATTATGACAGACGTGATCGTGAACGCGAACGTTCTCGTGATCGCTCTCGTAGCCCTGACGAGAGAGATCGTGATGTCAAAGAAGATCGGGAACGCCGGGATGATGAGCGAGAACGCAATGACGATGACCGTGAAAACGCACCAAATGGCGAGGAAAGAAAAGGTTAGTCGTCTAACATTTAACATTGACAAGATACTGATCCCTTTCAAGTGGCTCCGTTAGACCCCCTGGCTTCTGCTCACGATGAACTGGACACCGCTGAGTAGGTTGCTCTCCTGTTTAGCTCGCTGATACTCAAAAGTCGTATATCAGCCCGTCCTGGTATAATGCCTTGCCAATGGGAGATGCGACATCCTCATTATTCGAGGAAATATCACCGGTAATCAGCTTTAACTATCTTGCTTTCCCCCTATATCTGCCCAGTGCTTCTTGACCATTTAAGCCCTGTTCCGAGGTTATGATGCCTTGGTGTTCTCCCTGTTTTCCCTGTCCCGCTCACTGCTACATGCTTATTGGTACCCCTTATGATCGTTCCATTTACCGACCCGTCCCGCCTTGTTTCCCTCGACGATGTTTCCATCGCAGGGAAGAAGCAAAGACTCCTAGTTGGGAGAGGGACGGCGCGGCCTAGATGGTTTGTCAATTTGTTATTTATCGTGGTCAGCAGCTCGAAACTTTGCCGAACGAACGTCGAGCGAGCCTCTTTCCTATCTTGATTTAACGCCGGTCTTTGTCGTCCTTAACCATCCTGACGATAACTGGCGGCCCGTTTCTTCGTCCTCGAGTCGCAAATTAATATCACTCGATCTTCCATCCCTCATCCCTCGTCCTACTCGTCCGTCCGAAGTTCCTGATCAACCCCTTTTCTTCGAGAAACGGCCTGCCATAGGAGCCGTTCGTAGCCTGTACTCGAGACATCCGAATCTCCTTTACAGAAACTTTCGAGGAGCCCTGGTAAGCGTCCTTGATACTATCATATCAGCTTTTACGAAGCAAGACGTAGGTAATGCTAGTTGTATCAATTTATCTTAGCCCCTTTGTCTTACCAATTTATGGTTTCGGATGATTGCTGTCCTCGGATTCATCAGTATATCCATTTACCTAAAACAACAACGCGCTTCTGCTTCTGTTTTTAGGTCTATATGTGAGGCTATAAGTGTCTATTATAATGTCATCGAGGACCCAGAACTATGAAACCTATCTTGAAAATAATCGTCTTCCGGTGAGTCCTAGAAATTGAGGACCGGTCCACTGTAATTCTACACTCATAGGCAGACCCTCCGAAATGGTGGCTGGCAGCTAGACAGAATTTTGTGATGTTAGGACCTTAATTAGAGGTGATATTTAGATATAACTATGAGTGGAGACGGAGAATTTCGGGTTTGCAACATGAGGTACAAGAACATAGACGAAGCCCTCCTTGCGAAAGAGTCCTGGATCGAACAACTATTGCATTTTCTCGTATGTAGCCATGAGCGAACCTGCAGTATATGGTCAATTTCCCCATGCTTCGGTATAGGTCAATTGCAATAGACTTACCGATGAACGTGGTCACTAGGCGAGACCGAACTTGGCAAATATCTTCGGGGACGAGCCAAATCGTCGCCCCGAGCTTTCGTGCTATGCTAATACTCAACTTAGCGTTGGCATAGGCCTCCTCCTCGTTCCGGCCAGGCGTCACGAGCTCATAGTCCACGTAACTGCTCTTCATGCCATTGAGCACATCAAGTAAGAAGATACCGGATCCAATAGACGGATCCTTGAAATTGCGAATCGTCGTAGTTCTTCCTCCCCTTCGGGACATCTCATTTGCCCATTTTATCATCTCTGCATCAGTCATTTCGCGTTTGCCCATGCGTTGTGCTAGGCTAGAGAGAGTAATTGTGATGTCTTTTCGCATCAGTTGCCAGACCAATCCCAACGTAAGAGTCCTTTGGCCATCAGTGATATCTGCTCCCTGTACACCTACAAGAGAGAAACCAATGTGTTTACCAAGCTCAATTGCATAGTTGGTGTTCTCGACCGCCTTGAAACGCATCATTTCTCCGCCAGACGTTGGAGGCTTGTTGACATGTTTCCAGTTCACACTGCCAGAAATTACCTTATCATACGCTTGTAGCAGGATGGTTCCATCGCGTAGGTCATCAAACAGTGAGTTGACAGAAGGCTGTACGTCGAGGGAGTTTAGCCAGAGAGTGAAAACTCTGGCCTCTCGTTCACCCTCAGCATCGAAGTCCTCAACCTCGAGTTTCTCTTCTTCTGTAATCGGGTCAAGACCAGGAATTGTGTTGAACAAGTTTGCCACAAATGCGAGATTAAGCTTCGGATTCCCTGCAACCAAGGAAGTAGGAGTCAGGAATTTCCGACAGTCGAGCTTTTCCGCATTGGTTAGAACATGTTCAGCGCGCTGAACCAAATCTTGGACTTGAAGGGGTTCCCTTGAGCAAATCTCAGGTGCCAGTTGATTAAGAAGTATGGTGTAATTCTCCCCGTCTTTCACATCGGTTGAGAAATTTGTAACTCTATGGCATGTCAGCTAAATATGTCATCGAAATCTCCGTGGACTAGCAGATTAGTCCTAGATCGGCCCAGTCATCGAGGTGGATAGAGATTGTGCAGCTGGGCGTCGGGTGAGATGTATCATACCTTCTATCCCACTTTGCATTCTTCAGGTGATAGTTGAACCAACGTAGCAAGATCTGCTCCGGAGGAAGGCGAAGGAACTGCTCCAATGTTTCGTCTTCTTCAAGCAGCCGGTAAAGCTCCGGATGAAGTTTGATGTCAATCTTGCCGAGAAGACCTCGGCGAATGATTTGCCAAATGAGGCCCAGGATAAGATGCTCACGAACTTCAATAATATCGCCGCTCCCTATGTTGACAACTGAACATCCTATGCCCTTGGCGGAGTTGATGACAATGTTGTTGTTCTCGGTCATGTGGAAAGCGTTCAATTCCTTCGTTCTCTTCCCAGGCTTGTTAAGAACACGCTCGTCGATCGTGTCTGGAACGCTGTCATTGATAAGCTTTGCTAGCACTAAACCGTCCTTGCATTTATCAAACATCTCAAATGTATCAGTAGGAAAAGGTAGAGAGTGGCCGATGTCTGGGTCCCCTGCGAGAACAGCATTGATGTGCCTAGTGAATTCGGTCCTCTCATCCTCGTTTATAGTGTGTGTCACATTTGCAGACGAGCCTTGTACATGGATTTTCCCGCCGATGCTCCCCTTAGAGACGTGGCGGGACTGTCCAGTGACATTTCCGGGTATCACTGCTGCAGGACCATGGCCACCAGCGTGATTTTGCGCTGGAGAAAAGCGAACCTTGGAGATGAGCTGCCGATATGCGTTAGCATTATTGATGAAAGTGCTTTCCAGGGTACTAACATCCACATAGTCCTCCAGTTCGACGCGGCGGGAACTGTCCAACTCAACCTCTTTCAAGGCTTGGCGTACGACATCATAAGGCTTCCGTTCCGTTTGTTGTGTTGCCTTGATCACAGTGGCCTCGTCTAGATAGCCCCTATCGTCGACATCCAGCTTCCGAAATGCATCTTGAAGGGAGAAGATGTCCGCCTGATCGAATTGCGGGAATTTCCTGAGCTATGGTCAGTGGCCCCGCAGCTTCTACCCGTGGTATTGATGCGAACCTCTGTAATTTGAGCACGTTCATTTTCTCCTTCTGTTGTCCCTTGATTTCGGAAACTAGGCCTCTTGAGCGAAATGAAAGTTCAAAGATTCAGAATCGCAACTTGCGGGTGAAGATACCGTAGTATCAGAAGGTGACCAGGTGAGCACTCAACGTTTAAGTGACCCTGTTTGAGGGGCCGAGGGGGGGGGAGAAAGCTGCTGGTATGATGAACGAAGGAGACTCCGTGGGGTTGATTTGCCGTCTTGTTGTCGAGGGGGAATTGCACTAGTGTTGAAACCTAATGACAAGGTGGGGTTAAGATGGGATGACTAGCATCGCTCACTAGGTTACCGGGAATTACACAAAAGAACTCTTAGAATCGGTCAGCCTAGAACCGCATGGGTAATTGGCCTGCATGTTGGTTACCTAGTAGTCCTTGTAAATAATTTACCTGACCAACACATACTATTCACACAAAAACAAGGTGTAACTACGGCGTGGTCCCTGGTCATACATAAACACTCTTCTGTAAAATAGAGTATAACTTACATTACTAGTTATGGTTGATGACGTAAAATGTGTGGGCGGCTGCTGCCTCCTGATGCCTGATGATGTCGCCGTCTAAATTGCATTACGGAACCGACAGTTTGATTACTACTCTGTACTCAGTACATAAACATGTTCACCAGATGTACATCATCCTAGATGACTGATAAGTGCTTGACAATATACGGGATAATTGACTAATCGTCCCATCACTAAGTCGTAAGCCCCTGCAAATTGACCTAGTTTATCCCTGTGTACGAGCAGGTGATCAGCTACGAAGCTTTTGGGTGGGCAAGTCACCGATCCACAAAGCCTCATTGAAACTGCCAACAAGGTCAGAAAGCACGGATGAATCCTTACGATACCGAGCACTCTCTGCGGTTCACTCATAATACAAGCACCTTGGCCTTTTGAGATCTCATAGCCTCGTCTGACACTGCCTTTTTATCAGTTCATCTGACGTAGGCGCATTGGCTCTTGCCACGAGACCACGAGCTCTCCTGAGCTTCATGCCAAAAGAAAGCCAACGGGGCCCTTTCCTAGGGGCAATTTCGCCTTGGAGTAGCCCCCAGAGCTCGACACCCCTGTCTACTACAGACAAGCAACACGACGTCCACAATATTCTGAAGCAATCCCAAGGACAAGACCATGCTATCACGCATAGGTACAGACTCAGCTTACACCGGTACCCGCAAGACTGCCCACCCTTGAGTGTCAAGTGGTTTTATGCAGTGGACTCTCCAAAACGGAAGCCGGAGCTGTCTACCAGTGCTCGGAACAAAGAAGATCTCAAGCTGCCACCCCCCAAGAAATTTGTGCAATTCTCAACTAGAGACTCTCATGCCATTGAAGAGGCTTTTCAAAGGATATCAGACATCGAGGTTGAAAATGAGAACTTTAGCCACGAACAAGCAGACCCAGGCCGTTCACGCGTCCCAACTAAGGTTTCAGTGAATGAAGACTTCTTGTTCGATGTGAACGTGGAATACAGGGAGCTGGCGCCAACGTACTGGGTAGGCCCCATATATGAAGTGCGCCGCGGGACCTGGTTTTTTCAGGAAGGATCGACTATGAAGCCATGCGAAGAGAATTTAGCAACGCAGCTTGAGGAGGGATATCTGAAGCTAAAACCCTGGCGATGCTTGGACACCCGTCGCTCGCCATCAGCTGCTTCGTCGACAACACCTAGTCACCAAGGTATGTCAAGAACGCGTAAGTAAACACACTAAATCGCTCATTTTGTCGAATAGATTCTGGCCCTCGTGGTACTTCCGGAACTAGTAATGAACCAAGGCATTATCGATTGTTCGGCGCTTATATGAGCAATATAGTCACATATCAAGATGCTTCCACCGCGCTGCTGACAAGTGATGACTTTATGTCCAGGGTCAGCACGACCGTTTACCAAAAGCTGGGTGCCGTCGCAGGCACGAAACTTGTACGTGGCTTCAATGAAGCGAAGAAGCCCACAAATGCATTAAAATGTGGCACTCCACAAAAGCAGGTACACGAAGGGCCCAAGCGTCGCACCAAACTACCAGGGCAGCTCGAAGTAGACTCCAAGTTGTTGGGTTTGACCGATTTGACTGGACCGGACGCCCCCAGTCCAGTGAATACAACAACAGGGTCTGCAACCGAAGAGCCGGGTAATGGGGCAGTTGATCGCTCAGAATTGGCCGAGCTTGAAGAAGAGCAAGTGCGTACGCAAGAACAGAAGGAGATGGAGGCATCAAAAGACTCCGATGAAGATAGAGATCGGGAGATAGATCATTTGGTTCTAGTCACTCACGGGATTGGCCAGCGCTTGGGCTTACGCCTAGAAAGTGTAAATTTCATACACGATGTCAACGTTTTACGCAAAACGATGAAAAGTGTTTATCGAGCATCACCCGATCTTCAAGCCTTCAATTCGCAGTTTGCCGATAAGCATGAAAACTGCCGCATTCAGGTCCTACCCGTGTGAGTCTATTTCCTTCTTCTACTTGGCGATACCGCCCTTCATATCTAACTTTGGCCGAGCCTCTCAATGGCTTGTGTTCATATGGAGTCCACGTACTGATTCAATAATTGTCTTAGCTGTTGGAGACATTTGCTCGATTTCCCCTACCAACAAATAGAACAAAGTCGTAAGGAATTTGACTTAGCGGACGCAGAGACTCCCGAAGATGCAATACCAGCATACCCTACTCTATCAGATATCACACTCGACAACGTGCCTGCTGTTCGAAATCTCATATCTGACCTGGCTATGGATGTTCTGCTTTATCAGAGTGCGTATTGTGAACAGATATCTCACATAGTGAAAGGGGAGTGCAATAGAATCCTGCGACTTTTCAAGGAGCGAAATCCATCCTTCAAAGGCTCAGTGAGTCTTTGCGGCCATTCTCTTGGTAGCGCAATCCTCTTTGATATACTCTGCCATGAACCCCATGATAGCCACCATGCGAGCCCCTCGGTCAATGCCAGACAGCCAGAATCTCGTCGAAATTTTTCTTTGGAATTCCAATGCCAGGAATTCTTCTGTCTAGGCTCGCCTGTAGCATTATTTCAGATGCTCAAAGGGAAAACTATTGCTGGGCGGCAGGCTCGAGACGAGGGACTCGCAAAAGTATCGTCCTTCCCAGAGAAATGCCCGTTGGAAACACCATTGCAGCATACCTCCAAGACAAGGTCTTTTTCTTCACACCAGACGAGCACCGTGCGCGCTCAGAGTGACTTATCTGTTTCTTCACCTAAATGTGGGCAGCTGTACAATATCTTCCATCCCTCCGACCCTGTGAGTTATCGTTTAGAGCCTCTGATTTCACCGGCACTGTCATCGCTTAAGCCGCAGCCTTTGCCGTCGGTAAAGAAAAGTCTTTGGACAACATCTGGTCAGAGTCTTTCCATGATCGGTAGTCGTGTCGGTCAAAGTGTGGGATCTCTCTGGACGAATTTCACGTCAGGTGTCGCCAGCAGTCTTCTTAACCGTAGTCTCGGCCTGAGTGCCGAGGATGCCTCCACCCGCTCATCGTCCAATGCGACAACTCAAGACCCCCAGAATCGACCATCGATCGCGGGTGCTTCTGCGTTGAGTGAAGACAAGACTCGACGGCCCACACTGCTTGACTCTGACTTGGAAACGCTCTACGGAAAAGTCCATCGGGACAGTATTCCAGCGAAGCAGAATTTACAAGCATGGGAAAATGCTACCGGAGTCCCTGAAGCAGACAGTGGCTCCAAAAGGATTCTACTAGAGGATGCAAAGGTAAGGGCCTTGAATGCCAACGGGCGTGTTGACTATAGTATACAGGAGTAAGTGGAGTGTCCCAGGTCAATTATGGTCTCTGAGTAATGGCAAGCGCTAACCGTCTAGGGGTGCATTCGATATATCTATGATTGCAAGTATTGCCAGCCACCTGAGCTACTGGACAGATGAGGATGTGAGCCACTTTATGCTATCGCAAATGCTGTGTAGGAGGGAACAGTCATCAGGCACTCAAAATCGTCCCTAGCTTCTATAACGAAAGGCAAGCACTCGAGAGGATGTTTTGCTGTCATAATCTATCACTCTCCTGCGAGATGACGACAAGATGTATCATATATGCAAGTCTCTTAATTTCTTGAAAATCAATGTTTTGGGGGCATGCTACCACTGGCGTTAGTGCGCGCAAAGCGAGGAATAGTATATACATACTGTTTACTCCTTTGATCCTTCCACCGTGCAAGAGCCCATATAGTTGATCCCCAAGACCGTTTCTAACTGTAGCCATGCGGATCTAAACAAGCTTGGTATTAATTGTTATCAAGCTTCACTATTTATCGATCTGCGAAGTATGCGAATGTAGAACTTGGTTTACAGGACCAGAATGATATGCACGGCGACGAATGAGCCAGCGACCTCTACTACTTCTAATTACCTGCACCAAAAGTAATGCAATCTGAATCTAGACGAAGCTATGATTCCATCCGTCTATTCAGGCAGGAATTAAGCATGCGGTGTGACGTGAGGGCTGCGCATGACATACTGTCAGGTTAAAACTCCGACGGCGGGGCTAGCGGGGCCTTGCTTACTTTTACCTATATGAGAATGAACAAGAGCCCAACTTACAGTCGGTGTAATCTCCAGTAGAATCACGAGTGCAACCCATGCCCCTAGTGGTCAGCATCGAATAATCTGTGGGAAAGATGCTAATATAGCGATCAAATCATACTTGAAGTACGATCTCCTTCCGGTTGATGGCCTCGTCTGTATGGAACCCGAAGACCAAGCGGTAAAGATCTAGCAGCCATGGGTATTGTCCGCCCTGCGCGACAAGCCGAACGGCTTGCGCTACATCAAGGGCACTTGCTCGTGCCTGGGGAGTAGCACATTTGAAAGTTGGGTCAAATGCTACCAGCTTTTTATAGTTCTTCAGCAGTGATATTTGCCAAGGGGTAGAGCCGAATGTGTCGGAAGACAGTGATTTGACGAACGACGAGAAACTTTGTGTCCCAGAACGCTGATAACCGCTGTTAATTGCAGCCTTTGTAACCAATATCTTTATAACCGCCAGATTCAATCCTCCCGATAAGGTGGTTATTGTTTTGGTCGATGAGGTCTGCTCCGATGATTGTGATTGTCCTGAAGCAGCTGATGAAGTTGAAGACCAGGCAGTTTGCGATGCTTGAATTGAGCCTTGGCCCAAGACGAAAATGTTCTGAAGAGGTGCCTCATCTGGTGAGATGGTTGCAGTATCATCGAAAACTGTAGTTGGGGTCTCAGGATGTTTAGATTGTCCCAAAAGTTCGTCACAAGCAATGAACTGAGACCCCTTGACTTGCTCAATGGCCTGCTGGAAAGTTGCTTGACTTGGCCGTGGTGTTCCACGGTCAGAACTTCGATGGCTTCGCTGTGCCCAACCTTCCCTGAAAACATCGCAAAGTTCCCAACAAGCATGAATCGCCGATCCCAGCAAGTCTTCGTCTGGTTTCTTGTTTTCTCTTTTATTCTGACGCATGGTGAAAAGCATCTCTGCAAAAGACCAGCACGCGCCCAAAGGGGACTCTGCCTCAGACACTAGGCTCCTCTGCTTCATCAGACGATGACACAGTGTGATGTAAAATTCTAGAGTCCTCTCCCGGAAAGCCTCCGGCAGGTTTCGATCATGCGTATTATAGAGATGGTTATTGAGCTCGAAACTGACGCGGAGAATCGAATCTGTGACCTCGTCTTCTTTTTCACGCGCTTCGAACAAAGATTGACAAAAGTCATGACAAATATCAAGAGTAGGGTTGACTTTTGAGGAGTGGTAGTTGTTCTGGCTGGCATAGAGTTCCTGACATAACCGCCAGCATAGTTTCCAAGCCTCGTCTTGAGTATTGACATAACATCCGTGCCTTTCTCCATGTAAAGTGCTGAGAACGGCTAATGAATTGCATAGAGCCCAGCACTCCGCTAGGGCTGCTGTGAGAGCGTCAATTTCTGCTTGTCGTCAGAATGGTATACAACCCGTAGACCCAGGCCATTGAAGTCATCGTGAGTGATTGACTTCCTGAAATCAGTACCGGAAAGGATTGGCTTACCCTCATTACGGGATATCGAGAGCCAGGGTGTTCCTTCTCCAGAAACAGCATCTGCCCTACTATCAACAGTATTGGTACATGAATTCAGGCGCGGATCTCCAAACTCTTGTCTTGTTTGCGCCCGAGGTGTTGGCCGTTCTGACCGTCCCTCCGCATGCTCAGCTGAAGTACTCGATGGAGAATGTGATACAGGGCTTTCAGGCCCAATCTAGCGCTTGTCAGTCTGCTTCCAGCCAAGGCGAAGGATGGTAGAATACTACTAGGATCGTCGTAAGATCATGACCCGACGATGACTGTGCTATTTCATGTGATGCATATGACTTCAATGCACTCGATGGTGCAAGCGTGCTGACAGATGGCACTTGTCCATTCACCTTTTCCTCATTAGATACCAAGAGAGGGTTGATTGCGGATGCTGATTGGATTGCTGACTTGTATGTCAATCACTTACAAAGTCACCAAAACCTGCAGGAGCATGTATCACTGATTGTGGTGGCTCGTCCTCATCCGATTTCGCCTCACCTTTGTTGACCTGTGTACTCGCAGTACGTACCTGTTAACAGTCTCAGTACGGTTGGGTCTTATAGTCAAATTCTGCCGGATGCCATTCATACTTTGAGTTCCTCTCGAGATAATCCTGTGAACGGTGGTCTTGAATCAAGCGGCGTGCATCCACACTCAGAATCGCACTCCGGAGAGCCATCGTGGCCGCCCGCATCTTGGTTTGAAACCAGGGACGACCCTACATCGTGTCCCGATGTTGTATCAGATGCGTCAATGTGATTTTTGGCAAGCCTATGTGGTTTAGCATTTTATATTGAGTCATCGCGGGATTTACATTCTCATACATGGTGTATCTAGAGGCACTAGGAAGCTGACGGCCTGGAGATCTCAGAAGACAGGATAAGGCGGTTAGAATGGTAATCTGCTAACGTGGTGTGATTATGGAGCAATATCGCCTGAAAACATATAAATAGATGCGAGCTGATAGCGTGACAACGACCTGGGAGAAGCTGGCTGAACAATATCACTTACACGGGTCTATCAAGAGTTCTAGCACTTCGATGGAGGTCTCATCACACATCATGTGCCTTGCCGCCGTGAGACGCTTCGCGCCGAGCACTACTGGCGCTAACGGTAGTATATAATAAGCTGTTGTACTGTACTGTACATACTAACTTATACCAGCCGTACAGTCATCCGATTAATTGTGACATGTATCCAGCAAAATTGGTGTGCTGATGAGTAGACAATGTATTGTAATCATCAGATCCACAGTCGCCCGTGTGCCTTCTCTCTACATAGGTACATAGACATAGATCATCCAGTAGTTTTGCTTCGGTAAATGGCCAGATGGATCTCGACATTGATTCGTACAGTACTTAAAAATATGTATTATGGTGGCATGAAGGGTAACTAACTGTCCTGACATTGACGACTAGGTCGTAGTCACGTACCCAGTATTGGCTAACTTGTGCATGCACTCCAACCTTGTCCTGCTTCATATGAAAGAAGATTTCTTACCACCCGAACTACATCTGTTCTTAGTGCCATTGCCACGTACATTCGGACTGGTCAAACGACCTCGAAAATGAACCATATCAAATGCTGGAGTGGCACGGAGGAATAATATCAACCTCCGCGAAACCCTCCCACACTATATACGCGTAGCGTCTCTGGCCAAAATCGACCACGTGAGTTATAGGCAAGATATCTTCAGAAACAACAGACTGCCAAGAGAACACTAAACTTACAGAGTGAGGAGCAAGGCACTCTTTGCCTTGTAAATTAAGTTAACCAATCTTGATTACATTAGTTGAATGAACTGCTTCTGAAGGCGTTCCTTGCCACTGCATAATTCTATGACTCAAAAACAAAACCAGACAAAAGAACCGAATGGGATAATAAACTACGCATGTAAAGCTGCCGACATGACCGAAAGAGCTCGTGCAAGAATGAAGAGAACCGCTGAAAACCACTAGGAAATATTGGGAAACCACAGATGAAGGGGCTTGAAGTGCCTAAAGTCAATCGCCACTGACATTAACACAGAGAAAACCTTTTGCAAAGCTCTTTTCTTTTTGTAGCCACCGAGAGTAGTGAGCAGCAGGGCCGCCATTCCCAGAAGGATTGTATGGAGGTCATCGGGAAAAGGTCGAGGCAACAGGCATTTTTGGAGAGCTGTGAATGTGTTCGGTACCGCTTCATATTTGCTTCATATTTGAGACTTCGCCCGATCCCTCTCGGTGGGATTATACCTTGCGGACAATGTCAACACGTTAATTCGATGCTGATCTGAGCCATTCAATCGTACCTGAGAAGTTTCTCGATCAAATCGACATGGGTCATGATCATCCTGCGACAACAATATCTTCTACAGCCCAGCTGATCCATAGCATCACTAGAGATTATTTCATCAGAGATGATGTTCGCGTCAAAGCAGTCCATTGGATAATGACCTACCCGTCTGGTATGCCTTCATCTAGAAGCTGTAGGTAGCGTTCCCATAGATCTCCAACAACCTATTACTCCACGATGATTAGAAGCCGTGTAGGGAAGCTGGAGTAACTGTATTGCTACCAACCTTGCCGCAAGAGAAGCACCTGACGGGAATGATCATTGGGCCAAGATGTGTCTCGAGAACGAGAAGAGATATTAGAAGTGAGGAAAAGCTGCACCAAAGGTAGTTCTGATACTCAGAAAGGTGGAGGTAGCAGTAAATAGAAAATGTCTTCCGTTGTGATGTGCAGCTACTAGATGGTAAGAATGAGGTCGTTAGTTTCTGTAATCCTCAGTCTTTGAAAATGCCATGAGGAATAATTTACTCACGTTGAGGATTGATCAAATCTGCCTGTATTATTGGTTACTTGATTTGACACAGACTCCACCTTTTTTCCATTTGAAGACTTGCGCCTAACCGAAAGCCCATTAGTCTTGAACGGCTGGAGCACACATGATGAAAGCGCTAGTACATACTAGGAATAGAGCCGGACCAGTGCATGGATGGAGTGTTTGACTATGGCAATAACGCAAAAGAGAAGCAAAAAAAAAAAAGGAACCTACTACAAGCAGGTGGTCATCATCCTAGGTTGCCTTTCAACATCTACGGGCTACGCAAAATCAATGATGCTAGTCTGTCTCATTCATAGGGTACATCATTTACAACAAAACTCCAACTAGAAGGTCCATATCAATTATCTTCACCTCATTGCCTGGTGAACCAATGTCAGATTCGGAGCCGAGACAACTTTCCAAAAGATCGCGCGCCAGCGAGGTGGCCCAAGGGAAGATGGTCTTAACCGATGATGTTCGCACCAAGCGCCGTCGTACATCATCAATCGACAAGGGGACTCAGAAAGACGATTCTTTGCGGCCTAGGATGGCCGGAAGGACCGTGGCTTTGGCAACTGATGCTGTTACTGTTCCGGAGGATATCTCTGAGCCTAGCGAGAGAGAACCGAAGGAAACCGCACGGAATGCCTGGTTCCTGTCTGGAATTGCCGCTGGAAGATTTAGCAACTCTGATCCCTTGTTCACTTCAGATGATAAGTGAGTCGTATCGTTCATTGTCATCTGAAACAATTTCTTACAGTGTTTGTCATAGGTACCTTTTTCTTGGTCTAAAAACAGCGGTCCACATCTACTCGGTGACGAGTTCGCGGCTTTTTCGAGTACTAAAGTTGAAGTCCACCGACAATGTAATCGGATACAAGCTCTCTCCACAAAATTCGGATCATCTATACGTTTTCAGCTCTACTGGCTCTGTGAGCAAATGGGATTGGTTTTCCGGCCAACGGCTTTATAATCGGGATGCATGCAGGCCAACAACCTGCATCGACCTTTGTTCAGACGCTTCTGGAAATGACGCCCTGTTCTCCGTTCATGATCGCGCAGATTCGAAGAAGGATATTGTTCTTCAACTCTTAACTGACGAAGAGCCTTGCTCTGTTCCCTTGCTGACCACCAACACCCCGATCACTCGTCTTAGGGTAGCATACCAGGGTAGAGTTTTGGTTGCTTTTGGAGGCCAAAATGTTATTCTCGGTTCTCAAGCGCATACTCCAGGCTCGAGCCCTGTCTCTTATACCTGGAGCGAGTTGACTTTGCCCACGAGTATCACATCCGCTGATATTCGATATCAAACAGCCTCACAACGGGCAGGGATCCCGGGTTACAAAGATCGGGCAACCCTTGGAAATGTCGATCTTGCGCTGGGGGAATCTGGGGGCTCGATTATGATTTATAATGATATTCTCACTTCCCTACAGAACGATATCGGCAATAGCAAGGCTCTTACCCCTAGGCGGCTGCATTGGCATAGGAGTTGTGTTAATGTGGTGCGCTGGTCTAAGGATGGTAAGCCACTGTTCATAGGACATATATGGGCTTAAATGACTGATGCATTTCTCTTGCAGGTAATTATGTCATCTCTGGCGGCAACGAATCGGTGATGGTTCTGTGGCAGCTGGATACGGGCCGAAAGCAATTCTTACCCCATCTCTCGTCCCCTATTTGCAACATAACTCTTTCCACAAGTGGGACCCTCTATGCTGTCAAATTAGCAGACAATTCCACCACTGTGCTATCAGCGCGAGAACTCCAGCCATTTGCCACCATAAACGGCTTGCAGCTGTGCCCACCGACCAAGTCTCACAGTCGGTCCTCGACCAAGAGGCCTCTGTCAGTCGGAACAATAGCCGCCGCTTTACATCCGAAGCTCCCAGATCAACTTCTTCTTACTGTTCCAGCCTCTCATCAACTGACACCGGAAGGTCATACTGTGGCGAACGCTTGCACTCTCCAGACCTACGACATTCGCTCCAACAGCCATGTCTCACGGCAAGCACTTGCGCGTACCAACACAACAACTTTGAAGGTTAGCCCAGATGGCTCATACATCGCTGCACCAGATGTCAGTCACTTGTCTCTCTCTCGAGACGGGAAGTGGATGGCTACCATTGATAGCTGGAGCCCCTACACAAGAGACATGCAGGCTCTCTATCTTGGCGATGATCATGGCGGACGCAGCTCTACTCAAAGCCAAGAAGCTTTCCTGAAATTCTGGAGATGGAATAGCTTGTCCATGATGTGGGATTTGGTGACCAGAATTGATACTCCTCATTTTTCTGGCAAGGGTCCTGCGCGGATTTTGGATCTTGCTTCCCGTAATCTTGCCCATGAATTCGCGACTGTCGGTGCTGATGGAGTGCTTCGCTTGTGGTGCCCAAGCGTCAGGCAACGAAGTGGTCTTAAGACAGCAGGTACTGAACAAATGTCGGAGACTTGGAAATGTCGAAATGCTATTGACCTGAAGAGCTATAGTGACATGCATAACCCTACAAGATTAAATGCAGCCTACATGGATTATTCGCAGGATGGGTCGGTGCTCGCCATTTGCTTGAATTCGGCATCATCTGCGGATCCTGGTGTTACATTATTGATTGATGCTCAAACCTGTAGCATCCGCTATAGTAGGGTTGGGCTATATACAGGGGATCCTTGTGGGTCGGCATTTCTGGGCTCTCAACTCATCATCACCTCAACACGATCCGTGTTCATTTGGGATATTGTGCATGACCTTGTCAGAACTCTCTGCTTCCCTGATGCAGCTGAAAACGAACAGCCCTGTTCATCACGCCTGTTAGCGGTTAGCATTGAAACTAAAACTTTCGCCATTGCCGTGCAAGTTCATTCCAAGAACCCTGCATCAAAGAAACGCCGACGATCCGAACCTCATGTACAGATCTACGACATCGAAACCCTCACCTTACTGTCTGAAATCATGCTTGATAGCTCTCCCGTCGCTTTACTATCTGATAAACACTCCGGCGATTTCGTCATTGTCGATGCTGCAGCCAAAGTACAACGGCTCAGCTGCCTGGGTTTAGCACCCCAAGCTATATATGCGGATGCACCAAGTGACTTGCTTGAGAACTCGGGCCTGGCAAGCTTGTTTGGTCAGCAAGAGCAGGGCAATTCAACCGATAGACAGCAATTAACAACAGCGTCTAATGGTGCGAATGGTTCTTTGCAGACACAGCTGGCTAGTGTTTTTGGCGATGTACCACCGTACGTCTTGCCTCCAGCCAATCTCCTCTTCCGCGATGTGGTCCAGGCTCTCTCATGTTAGCAATGTACCTAGTGATAAACTATTTGCCATACGGAAAGTCTTGTATTAGGCCCACATATACTGTCACTGCTAAACCATGGGTGGCTTTCATTCCTATGTTCTAGGGGCGCGCTTTCATGTTGATCATATTGGCCAGGTTGCATTCAACGAGACGGCAATGTACCTCAAAGACTCATATTGACCAAGAGATATTCTGTAAGTATATATTGACAATTATTGCAATTTTAAAGCAGCTGTTCCACAATGTTCCACGATGTTCCAGGTTTATTGTAGAATCATCCTGTCCCGATGAGTAACTGTTCCTTGCATAACTAAGTTGGAAATCACGTTTTTAAGGGCGTCACAATTGATACGAATACCTCTAGTTATGACACCCGAATGCATGTAAAGAAGACAAATTGACAAGGCAAGTCCAGCGAGCTCGAATTCTCTAGCGTCAGATTATTCTCTTGATCCTTCTCCGCAGCTTAAAAACCCTGGTGCGCAGCCATGTCAAAAAAAGCACCCACGTGTTCTTCGACTGGGATTTCCAGCCAGTTGGGTGTGATCCTGGCGAATCTGAAGGCTGCAATGTGTCAGGCGCAGGCTTCTCGTTATTCGTAATTTCCACATCCACCTGGTCAATTCCAGTTGACCTGTGTCGTTCCTTTTGCCGAGTCTGTTTTTTCTCGGCTTTCATTTGTTGGGCCTCAATTCGCCAGGTCTTAGCCGCCTCCTTTTCTTCAAAAGCTTGACGTGCTGCTTGTACTGTAGCTGCTCGAGCGAGGGGGTCCATACTACTCCGAGTTTTAGATCGAAAAACGAAATCTAACGATGATCTTGAGACTGGTGACGTCGTATCCAAAGTGCTACCATTCTCTCGCGAGTGATTAAATGATGTACGGCCGGTAATATTAGTCTGAGAGATTGCGGGTGATCTTGGCATTGAACCATCTTGAATATGTAACGACAATCGTAACGCTTGCTTGGACGAGGTATGCATTGACGAATGAGAGATTCCAGGCCCATGCTGTGTCAGAGAATCGCTGTCAGTCGATTCTTCGCCTAGAGAGGCACTGCTTCCAAGCATAGACATCTGAAAAGATTGGATCTGTGAAGGTATGTGGACATGAGGAACAAGGGGCATAGGATCAGAAGGTATTGACCTCGGCCCACTTGCGCCTGCGACATCAGCCATTTGTGCCTGAGAGGAGACATGCGTAGAGTACTTAGGGCGGCCGAGGATACTTCTGGAACTGCCGCTAGCAAGGATTCCGATATCCGGATGATCCGTATTCATCTGGGACACATTGGAGGCTGTCGGGGAGCTGTTTCGAGGCGCCTTCATCATAAGCGGCATTATCTCCGCTTCCTTTGCACAACCCAGTAGAGCTCAGATATTTAGATTTCGAGCCACACTCAGACCAGGAACGGGTCATCCAGGCAAACCCAAGCCTCTCCGACTGTTCTAGACCTGGTTGCCCTGAATTTGTACGCGTCCCTTCTCTATCGCGTCCCTTCTCTATAGACAGTTCGACGCAATCAATTTCGGCGAGATTTGCTGAGGATTATCGAAATTGCCAGACTATCATTGCGGTGCGGTATCCTGCTCACATTCGGATTCTGCAGCCAAGCTGATTGGACGCTATCCGCAAGTTTGAACCTCCTGCGTATGACTAGAAACTTATAGATTTGTTTCCGATCACTTGACTTCCATAAAAGCGAGATCTGCGGTGGTTCCATTCAAATTAACGCGCCTCTTGTGCCCACCTAGTCTCTCCGAACCACCGACACTACTGTGAAAGGGTTCAGTTGGTCCTGACCAAAGACATGGTCGTCGAAGAATATGAGTTCAGAGGACAGAGACGGGCAAGTCGAGTCTTTGGTCACAGCGTACTTCTCACAGATAACGGTGATGGACAGTTAAAGTTTGACGTGGTAATGGTGGATTTGTAAGAGGGGAAATGGGGGAAAGCGATATTCTATAAAAGAAAGATGGAGGTATTTCAACAGCTTTCAGCTTAAGAAGCCGATAACGGCGACGAAGCGCTAGAAAGGCGCAGATGGATACTTTCAAATGCACACGATGCAGCGTGACAATAGTATGAGCAGTCGGCTATGATGATAATCGTACCTCCAGGTGGAAAAGGAATGAGAGGAATTCCGCCAGAAGAACCGAGGTGTCGGCGAAGATTTGCTATAATGTAGGATGGATGCACCGGGAAAACAATCAGAGAGTGAAAAGAAAGAGGAGAGAGAATGGGAGTGAGGGTGAGAAGGGGGAGGGGTGTGGAGGAGGAGGGGGGGGACGGAGAGGAAGAGTATGGAAAGACTGGGGAAGCTCGGAAGACGGCGGTGAAAGGGCGGCAGAGCAACGGATGCGGAGTGTATATCTGTATATCTGTATGTCTGTATGTCTGTATGTTTGTATGTACAGTACAGTACAGATAAGTAAACTAACTACCGGTAATATAATCGGACACCGAACCGGCGCGACACCCAACTGTTGTTTTTCAGTAAAGCTACTACTAAATAAATTAAACTTCAACAATTTATCTAAAAATCTGTATTAGGTAGTACTAAGATGATAAAAAAGATTATTTTATACTATATTCACATATTATCTAAAATAGTTACATATATAAAAGAATATTTTTACAATATTCATATAGTTCTGTACAGAATATCATTTTAATAAATCTTAATCCTTTTTATTATATTTATCTAATGATTATAGGTATTTTATATTCTTTCTGTATAGTAGAATTATTCTATTATAGATGTTTATTTCAATTCAGAGAAATTCTAGCTTCTAGTAGTAGCTATAGAGAAGACCGACGGTTCGCTGTCGCGACGGTTCGGTGTCCGATTACGTTAGGCACCGAGGTTGCAGATCGGTTGTGTCGTTTTTTAGCTAGGCACCTGCTTGATTACCAAATTCAGTTGGTGAGTAAGTAAATGACCAAATCAAGGGCTTGGCACTTACTTCCCAGAATAACCTACCGACTCTTGTACGTACTGTACTAATTACTGAATTATAGTTATGTGCTGTAGGTACCTGCGTTAGATGACAGTTTGCTCAATAGATACTGTAACCGATGTACCGCTATATCTTATGGGTTTTCTGTCATTAGTACATTAAAATCACCTCTCGCACAGATTATATTGCTAAGTCTACGCGCATCTCGCCGCCTGAAATGAGCTGACAGGATCCACGGTTCGATAGCCAAGCGCCGTGTAACCACCACTGGAACAGACCTCTATCCGAGCAGATGCAAAGGCATATCTAGGCTGGATTCAATGGCAAAGTTTCAGGTCATTGAGCAGCGACTCGAAAAAGAAGACCCACGGAGAAACGAGTCATAACAAGACCGAGACCAATCATTGTTGAAGCATGTCTGGAGATGCAGAAGAAGTCATTACCGCATCAAGCATGCGGCGCGACTTCGCAATGGACCACAGAGAGGCAAAAGCGGCATAGCTCTGACCAGACGTGATCTCAAAGTCATCGAAGCGAGAAGAAGCATGAGTGCACCTGCATGTTCGGGTTGCCGCGGGAGTTTAAAAGGTTGAACGTCGAGGCGATACCTTATAAGTTCAGGCCACAACTCAATCTTGATTCTTCACATATAAATGTATGTAATCTCGGGATCATTCTCGTGACCTCGTGGACATATCTCTTGTCATCACCATTGTTTGACCGTCGGCGGCTCCAGACGGACAACTTTATCGGGGTTGAGAAGGCAGAGGGGGTCGAAAGCAAGTTTGAGCTGGAAGTTCTTGGTCAATGAAAAATCGTCACACATATTTCATAGGGACCACATACCCGACGCATGGCGTCCACGGTGCGTTCGCCTAATTCATGTTCCAAATAATCCCGTTTGACAAGACCGACGCCGTGTTCTCCTGTCACTGTGCCTTCCAGCTGAATAGCCCGCTCCACCATCCGGTGAACCACAGCCTCTGCAGTCTTTCTCTCGCTCTCGTTAAAGAGGATGATGGCTGAAAGCGTCAAAATAAGCCTCTAGTATACCCGGGCAGATATCACTCACCATGGAAATTACCATCTCCGACGTGGCCACAGATACCTGCCAAAAGGCCACTTTCAGTCATATCTTGTTTTGTGGTTTCAATTATCTGGGGCAGTTTGCTCATAGGTACCGCCACATCCGTTGTCCAAACATGGTCCTCGGGTCCTCTTCGCATAGCCATTACACTCCACAGAGCCTGTTTGCGGGCACTCCAGAGTTCCTGCATTTCCGCATCACCGCGTGCAAACTCAAAGGACCTCCCTGCCGAGGATGAAACAATCTTCTGCACAAGATTTATCTGTTCTTTGACGCCCACCGGAGTCCCTGTAAATTTGAAGAAGAGTGTAGGTGTCTCCTTCCATTGTCGGCTGGTCGTCTGGCTGGCATTAATACATTTCATCTGGACGTCATCCAAGATCTCCAGACCGGCGACGGGAATGCCTTCCTCTACTACACGTGTGACACATTCCGCCGCATCCTGTATTGTCTGAAAGCTTGCAACAGCAACATTTTCACTTTTGGGCTTAACAGTCAACTTTAGGGTTGCTTCTGTCACAAGCCCAAGTGTACCTTCGCTGCCAATGAATAGCCTAGTGAGATCATACCCCGCACTCGACTTCCGCGGACGTTGCCTTGTCTTAATGACTGTCCCATCGGCAAGGACGACCGTTAGGGAAAGCACCCACTCGCGCATGGTTCCATACCTATAGGCATTAGTTCCAGAACAGCCGGTACCAACCATGCCGCCGATCATAGCGCCAGGACCAGGGTCTGGTGGGAAAAACAGGCCATCCTCGGACAACCTCTCGTTGAGCTCCTCCCAGCCAATGGCAGGTTGAACCACGACGTCCAAGTCCCCCTTGTGAAGCTCTAAGATACGATCCATGCGACGAAAGTCGATGCAAACACCGCCTCTCGTGGGTGAAAAATGTCCTTCCAAGCTTGTCCCACCAGAGTACGGCGTGACAGGGATTAGCCGCTTATGGCACACCTGCATGATTTGAGAAACCTCTGCCGTGGTTGAGGGATAAAGAACCAAGAAGGGCTTTTCATCAGTCTTCGGCGCATATGAAGACCAGTCAGACCCCGAATGGATCTCCAAGTCATTGTGTTCCGTAGAAACGTTCTCTTTCCCTATAATATCAACAAAGTCTGCCCACGCAGCCTGTAGATTTGACGGCGAGACATTGTGTCTTGGTGGCTCTGCTTCATATATAGGTGTTGTTGATGACGTAGGCAAGCTCGCGGGTTTCAGGGACCCTAAGAAGTAAGCCCCGGCGGAGAAGAAGGTCAATGCTAGACATGCGGCATCAGATAGATTTGTCACACAATAGAACCCAAGGGAAACATCTCGTTGTAGAGGTGGATGATTCGCATACCGAACATCATAGCTGCATAGCGACCACCCTGGGATTGGGTCTGATACTCTGAGTAACGCTCCTGCTCGGCACGCTCCCTCCTGAGGCGCTGTTGTGTGCTCTCATATAACTGATGCTTGAAAGACTGAGACTTTTCCTCCGAGGCATAACGGGTGGATTTGCAAAACACCCTCCGCTGAAGTTCTACGGGTGCAAGTTTGGTGTAGCGAACGCCCGCTTTCAGTTGTAGAGTGTACCTTGTCCCCAACGAGGCACGGAAAGGGTAGGACCTAATCATCTTGAGAGTCGGGGTCAGCATAAAAACGATGAGAGCAATTCTGTTTTTTAGGACGTTGACATCCTATTGCTGGAGACCGTTTGTAAGTAATCAGTATCTTAAAGCATGTAACAAATTGAGCTTGTTGCGCTTAGTGAGCTCATTAGCCATGACTAAGCCAAACCGGGAAACTCAACTAAACTGCCAAGTGTAAGGTATAGTACAGTACATGTCGAAATTGAATACCCGTATGTACAGTATGTATAGGCCAGTAAAGAATACCAGTTCGGAGTAAGTACCTATCCACTATTCCCAACTGATCATGTGATGATGAACCGGCTAAAAACCTGCCTGTAGGTACCACTCTGTACGGTAGGTACAGTACTCCATCCCTACCTAGTACTGTACAAACATATTTAGTCAAAGTCTCGAATGCCGGTTAAATTGCACACAATCCACCAATAGGTAATCAGCCGGGCTTCATGCCGACGACTCCTTTCCCCCCATCTGCGGTCATACTTACCCCGCCATATTATCCTGCCGTCTCACCTGGAGCTCACCTGAGCTTCCAAATCATCGTAAGAGTGTTGATATAGCTCCATAATAATGGCTTGTGAAGAAGGATAAATCACCTCTATTGCTTGGCTAGACCCATGCAGGTTGTTCGGAGAGAAATTAGGGTCAATCAAGACAATTGGATCATCGCCTGTTCAACAATCTTACCCCCCCTCCTCCCCCACCACTACACCCATCAATACGTAGCTATCTTGATTATCCTTTGTCGGTTGAAAGCCTGCCAATTGTTATTTAAATTCCTCCTGCTCTCATTTTTTTTTTCATTTTCAGATTTGTGCCACTCCAAACATTTTCTCCCACCTTCTGTTTCTGTTAGCCCACTGAGCACATCAGAGTGTGTCTTGGACGTGTTTCATTTTACCACCTCACCCTCTGATCCAGAGCCCAGCCTTCTTCTACCACACTGCTCAAAAAGTCACTATTAACCTATCTCATCTCCTCGGCTCATTGCAAAAATCAGGTGTAAATTTGCCGAAGATGTCTGCCCAAACAGCCACTGTTCAAGTAAGCAAAAAGACACGTTCTTTGAGAAGCATACACCTGTATAGCAGGTCGGGAGTTGGCAACTGCTAATGTAGGAAACCCAACATATATAGAACCTCTCGTTCGTATTGGAAGGCGTTCATCGGGTCAAGTTCGAAGATCGTCCGGTCCCTGAATTGAAAGGACCCCACGATGTCCTCGTGAATGTCAAGTTCACGGGTATATGCGGGAGCGATGTACGTTCTATCGATAGCGCTGTATCGATCGCGCTTGGACAGATGAGTCAAGCTTCAAACTGACTTCGGTACAATCGCTAGGTTCACTACTGGGAGCATGGTTCCATTGGCCAATTCGTCGTCAAAGACCCTATGGTGCTGGGCCATGAATCATCAGGCATTGTTCGCAGGGTCGGTTCGGCGGTCACGGGGCTGAAGGTGGGAGATCGTGTTGCACTTGAACCCGGCGTACCTTGCCGTCGCTGTGAACCGTGCAAGTCTGGGAAATATAACCTGTGTGAGAAAATGGCATTTGCCGCGACCCCCCCATACGATGGCACCCTCGCCAGTTACTACGTTCTGCCCGAGGACTTCTGCTACAAGGTCCCAGACAGTATTACCTTGCAAGAGGCTGCACTCATGGAGCCCCTTGGTGTCGCGGTACACATCGTCAAGCAGGCAGATGTTAAACCTGGCCAATCGGTGGTAGTATTCGGTGCTGGACCAGTGGGACTCCTGTGCTGCGCTGTAGCGAAGGCGTACGGCGCGTCCAAGGTTATTGCCGTGGATATCCAGAAGCCGAGACTCAACTTTGCCGCCAGCTACGCAGCAACTTCAACATATGAGCCGTTTAAAGCCAGCCCCTCGGACAATGCGAAGAGAATCATCGAGGAAAATGACCTAGGCTCGGGCGCAGATGTAGCAATCGATGCATCCGGAGCAGAGCCATCTGTGCACACTGGAATACACGTCGTTCGCGCTGGCGGAACGTACGTACAGGGCGGCATGGGAAGGAGTGAGATCACCTTTCCGATCATGGCTGCATGCACCAAGGAATTGAATGTGAAGGGCAGTTTCCGTTATGGTAGTGGTGATTATAAGCTTGCAGTATCGCTTGTTGCCTCGGGCAAAGTGAATGTCAAGGATTTGATCACTGGTACTGTCAATTTTGAAGATGCTGAACGGGCATTCGAAGAGGTCAAGGCTGGAAAGGGTATTAAGACACTTATCGCTGGTATAGAGTCCTAGACACGAACTGGTTACAATTGATACCAAGGCTCGACCGGCGTTTTCAAAAATCTCCCGCTTCTAGTAGTATAAGGTCTAACTATCCTCGGGCTTGTATTGATGATATAAGCGTCGTCATAAGACTCAAGTTCAGTCGCTTTTGAGGTAAGTAGCAACGGGTGTGGGCCACCAAGATGTTATTTGCATTGTAGAAAATGAATGAAGATTGAGCTAGGGTTTGAAGCCAAAGAACGCCAGGAAGACAACTCAGTACAGGACATTTAATCACAGGGTCGTTTAGTTTGCGAAGAACAGCCAGAGAATGCAATTAGGGTATCGTGCTGATTGAATTGGGAAAGAGAAGTTCCGAGCGAGATCAGACTATTTTCCGAACGAGACAGAGACACAAGCTAGTCAATTGTTATTTCCAGAGATTTCACAAAATGGACGGTGACCGAGGGGTACGATCGGTGTCAGCCCACTCTCCGTTATAGTGATATCAAATGAGGAAGACTGTATTCGAGCTCCGAGCTGCACAGTCGCAACGATAATAGGCAGCAGGTCAGCAACATCTACCATCTTTCCTCCGATGAGAGTCGCTCAACCTAAACACATCTTCCCATTCTCTCAAACCACCTCTTCGGCCATTCTCGGCTTCGGCTCTGTTGTACCGACGACGCATCTGGACAGAACCATCATCGAGCGTTGTTCGACTCCGAATACTAGATCCATCACTGGCGCTGGGACCATAGCCACCATCCCCGTATTGGATTCCACTTTGTGGATCGTCAGGATCGATCTCTCCTAATTCAATCTTTGTGAGAATTATCCGGGCCAGCCGGTTGAACAACTCTTCCACACCCTCGCCAGTTAGGGCTGAAATTTCGACGGCTACCGGGATACCGGATTTGGCTGCCCAGCGTGACACGTTTTCAGTGCTGACTTCGCGACCGTGCAAAGTGTTTGTCGCTGTTAACCTTGTTCCTGCTTCATATAACACTGTAGAACGAACAGACCCGCCGGTAGAGTCTGGGAAGAAAGAAGAATGCTTGCTGGACGTGCTAGACGGTGTAGGAGGCGGCCGGGAGCTATCATCGAAGCTGTAGTTATGTTGCATGGCATCCGAGGTAAGATCTGCTTTGTTCCCCGCGAGCAGGACTGTGAGATTGGGAGAAGCGAGAGCACGCGCATCCATTAGGAATGTCGGAAGGGACGTGAATGAGGCCTGGGAGGATACATCATAAATGAGGATGGCCCCCGCAGCCCCTCGGTAGTAGGATCTGGAGACAGATCGAAACCTCTCCGTTCCAGCCGTATCCCATAGCTGGAATTTGATTCTTGTTCGCCGGGAGCCGGTGCCTAATTTGACTATCCGGGAGGAGAATTCCACCCCGATCGTTTGCGAAGACAGCACTCTCCCTAGACGCACGCAATCTGTTAGCAAGCCAGGCTACCAGCTCGGGACGAATGTATACATAGGCTAGGTCAGAGGTTGAAACCCTACATTCATTCTTCACAAAGCGATGTAACACACAGGACCTTGGTTGTCACGGATAAGTGAGCGAGTGATGAGCTTTATTTGCGTCCAGTGAAGTCCATAGGGTCTTACTTTCCAGCCCCGCTTGGCCCAAGAAGGATTACCTTAGCCAAATAATCGTACATACTCTCCAGTTCCTGAAAGAAAAAAAGGAGGGGAAGATAAAGCGACCGGTCAGTCCTGGAGCAAAACGAGCAGCTTCTGGCACAACGACTGCATCGATTCCAGTTGAGGGTGAGGAGGGTTATGTGTATGTAACGTAAGGGGCATAATGAGAAGATCGCATACCTGGTTCCTCTCAGCCTGGAAAGATGTAGCTGAGGAAGCATTCGAAAAGCTCCTTTGACGCACCATGGCGCCAAACAAGAGCCATCCAAAGGAGAGACTCGGATGTTGTGAAGGTGAAGGGAAAGAAGAAAGGTGACGAGGCAGGTCAAAGTTACTGATGTAGACCGTACAGTACCACGTATTGTATACTTTACAGTACCCCTGCGCAGGCTCCACACTAAAGGCAACTATCGATTGCCCGCTACAATACGAGCCCACACATCAAATCGCAAATCTGCCTTCCAATTCGCACACAAGTCTTGTACAAGGAAATGAGTTGAGGGATCTTAGGCCAAGGTTTGCTACATATGTTCATGAAGAAACAGATAAGGCTCTCCGACCATAATCTAAATCTGATATGAGAGCTAAAGACAATTTATAAGAGCGCGCCACTAAGGCTCGCTGATCGCAGTAAAACCAATGCTGTCCGTGGCGCGAGAATGCAGAAAGAAGACATCAATTCGAATTTGCCGACAAGGTTCGTGACTTAGTGGCACCTCTTGCGTAAATGGACAACAGTACTCCATCCTTCGCAACATGCTTGGCTCATCTTGTGTCCGCACCAGCAGCTATGAAGCGAGTGAGCTGCTATACTTAGTCTGTCGGATGCGCTACGGGTACATGGTTGGCTGATAGATTGCCTCGATTGCCCGCTTCTGGACATAGCAAGATCGTTCTCCTTATCAGTGACAGTTACTTCTCTTTCCTCTGTCGGACATTCGTGATTTGTTGGAGTGGGATGATCCTGGCCATAGAGGTACTCTGAATACATTTGCGAAGGAATATCATGCCATTGCCCACAAACGCAGCAGATAAGGAATACCTTAGAAACATGCCGACCTGGGCAGTATTTCGGCTGGTCGCCGGAGTTTTTGGTTTGTATCAGCAAAGTACCAGATATCGCGGCTGGTGCTTGCTTCCGTGCTGGTGAAAGACAAGCACTAAAGTCATGCCTAGAATTCTCAATTTCAGGACTTTTTGGACACATTGCGGGAAAGTCATTCTCATCTTTTGATTGTGAAGCGACGGAAAGACCCTCATCCGCCGTGTTGTAATCATCTGCCGACATCTCGCGAGATGAAATGTCCAATGAAGACAGAGACCAGTCAAATGGCAGTGGTTGATCGGCAGAATATGTATGGGTGACTTGTGGACTCTGTACCTCTGAAGTCCATTTGGACTTAGTGAGACATGCCTCATGATCGAGGTAGGAGTTTAGCTTGCACATGGCCTTGGTCTTGCTCTGCCCGACGCCAGCGCTGTAGCTGACTGAAGCCCGAGAGTGAAGTTTTGCTCTCCCATCATGCGAATGCCCGAATTCAGCCATACTTGATGCCAACGAATCTATTTTTTCATCTTGAATCCTATGCACATTATCATTGGAGGTATATTGAGGGCGTTTGTTTGAGAATATTGGCCGGTCGCCGTCGCAATACTTATATGCAGGTCTGTGAATGTTTGCTCTTTCAGATGAAGCGCTAAGGCCTTGATGATTGATCGGTAGCGGTCGCACCGGGCTTGATCTGACAGTTATGCCATTTTCCAAGCCTTTGGAGTAGGCTTGTTTCATTTTCTCAACTCTGACTTGGGTGGTTGATTTGAATGAGGTTGGATTGGTTGAAGCTGGTCCGCTCGCCAAGTCACCCACCGAGGTCTCTGCCAGGGGCGATGACTGATATTTTCTATATTGCCTCTGAAACTGTCTGTTATTGGAAGGCCTTGCCGAACTGGCTTTCCAGGGTTCTTTTTGTGAAGTGGTGAATTCATTGGGGTGCTGAGGCCTTGCAGCGGACTGCTCAACTTCATATGAACGGGAGTCCCCGTGTTTATAAACCAAATCTGCGCGGGTGTCTTGGGTGTCTTCGATAGCGGATTTTATATTTGGCAGTAGACGCCCAGAGGTCTGAACAACCTCAGAGATCCTTGTCTCTGTATTCAGGACCGCTGAAAACGAGGTACGGTCCAAGTCTCTTGTTTGTTGCGACGCGTTTGGGGCTCTTAGCTCGGGCTTTGCTGATGGGGAAGTATGACTCTCGTTTCTATATGCGGCTGGCCCCTGCCTTGTCTCGTGGTGGACCAGACACTCGTGGGGCAGCCGCGATTTGCTGGTCTCGTTCACATCATAGTCTACGGTCGAATGGGTAGGCTTCCCCAGGGGACCGTCCTTGTGATATGAAAGCAATGCATTTGCCGCAGTGAGCTCTTTCGATAGCGCAATGCTGAATCGCTCTGGTACTTTTAACAGCGCCCGATCCCCTGGATACAAGTCTGCATTCGGCCTTGACTTTGCGGTGCTAGGTGACTGTTGGCATAGTCCCCGGTCAGCCTCGTGCGCCGAGCTCGGTCGAGAGCGCGATGAGCGCCTTGAAATGGAGAACATGGAAGAAAGCCTAGCCGAGGACCGAGAATCATCCGCACTCGCACTCGACGCCCTGCTCCACCTGTCTAAAGGTTGTTTTTTGGAAAGACGGCGGGTTTCCCTTTTCAGTAGACGGGATTTTCTGGATTCCTCGGCCTGTTCGCGCCTGAGGAGCTGTTTCTCGAGCTCTGCCCGATCTGCTTCCAACCGCTTCGTAGCCCGAGTCTTTTTGTTCCTGGGAGCGTCATTGTGTCCCCTCGCTGGGGCCTTGTTATTAAGTGTTACCGCAATGTCGCCTTCAAAAGAGTATCCCGTCCTTTTTAATGGATACGCGTTGAATAGTGATGCTGATAGTCTCTTGGCCCTAACGTCGCCGATAGATTGCCTCGAGTCGTCACGTTGACCCTCCTCTGTACTTATCTGAGAATGCCCACTGCTGCTTGAAGAATTCGAATTTGATCGCTGGGTGGCTGCTTTTTCCGGTTCGGACCTTGTTGTCTGGTGAGTAGCCTTCGGACTTTGGCCTTGCTTGCCCTGGGGCTGCTTTCGAGAGAATCAGCGTCCAAAAGTGCTTTGTCGATAACAGACATGAGGTATATGTAAGAGGATATGATACTCACATGCGTTTGCTTGTCAAAGCCGAGTGCGCGCTGGATTTGCTGAGTGATAGACGGTCTGCGTGGCCTTCTACTCAAGTGGCTGTTCTGATCCTGCTTCATCTTTGCGACATAGATCCAGCAACAAAAGGTGACTGGCTGGGGGGATCATAGCACAAGGCGTTCACTGGCGGAGAGACAACCTGAACCGAGCCTAGTCATGAATATCACCAATCGCTCTTAGTTGTGGGGCTGGGCCAGATAGAAGATTTCGTACTGGTGAGGGACCTGCTAGGGGTGTAAGGCAGATTGTGAATGTTGATTAGCACAAAGTAACAGGGAGTTCGGGGGCTGAACAAACTGCAACAGCGGTTTCAGCCGCCTCACCAGCTGCAGGCCAGCAGCACGCGAAGCTCGGATCCCACAAACATGGGTAAGAAGATGGCGGGTCAGCTGCAAGGGTCTAATGTCACGCCGGTCGAGGTCCAAATCGATGCTTCATCCGTGAATGAACTCTTTTGACTGTTTTGGTTCATTTGCTTTCTCCAACTCCTCTCTATCCTTGGCCCTAAACACTCAGGAGCATCAGAGTGGCATGATAATCCGGGGGCGAGGTTCGCAGGCCTAGGTTTCGCAACGTAGGAAGACTCTACCGGGCTCATTGGGCATTGATGCATGCACGCTCTAACTTAGTGAGTAGTTAGATAGTACATACCTAGTATAAGTAGTGGTTTTTTAAAGATTCATGTAAGGAACCGGAGAGTGCAACCGAGTAAGATGAGCGCGTAAGAGGAGACGGCAAACAAGGGGCAAGTCTTTTCTATTCCATCATATGCATGAAAGATAAACTGCGGAGCCAGAAGGTGTTGCAATGGGCTTTCAAAATACGTGTGCAGATTGATATTCAGGGCGATTGACAATAAATCTATCCGTATGCTTAATTATCGGAGTTCGTTCAAGACAGTGTACTGTACTGTATTGTACGGGTGCATGCGACATACAGCTGACCCCGGAGGTGGGGCTTGAAGAACCACACAAATAACTTTACAGTATGTACGTACATACTGTATTAAGGAGCCCTGCCGAGACCCGCCCACTCATCAACCACCCACGGAGCAAGTCCAAGCCTCCATCGGCCATTAACTACAACTGTGCTATGGCTACATACCATAGTGGTGTGGCAATCAAGATATTTCGATGCTTGAATATCAGCTCGTTCTTCTGATCATCTTGTGACGCATTTTCAAGAAGAGAACAGACAGCAAGGTGGCAGAGGGTGACGATATATGAAGTATCAAACGTGACATATGGGTGAAAGTTCGATTCGAGTGTTCAAATGGATCAACGACCCAAGAACGTATGCCAGGAGTCTCCGCCGGATTACGCAAATGTTGTCGCTTCTTCGTCGGCGAGCACATTCCTACAGCCTCCGGCTCCTTCTCCATACCACAACTGGCAAGAGTCTCCAGAAGAAGATCGCTTGCCTCCACCAGCAGCGAGCTACCTTTACTCATCTACTGGCAATGCCTCCTCCCATGACGCTTTGCGTGCGCACGAGTTCTGTGATGCACATCCACTAGATTCCCCAGCGATGCCATCTGTTGCTGCTTACAGATCTGTGGAGCAATATGATTTGACACCAGTACGGCCGTTGGAGTTTCATGGCAATGTGCATGTTGCTCCTCAGGGTCGTTGGACGGGCTCCACGGGCCACGGAAACAGTGACTCTATACTGACAACTAACTTGCCTCTTTACTTCTCTCTGATCGACTCCCCTCTTCGCACAAATATGGTCAAGTCAATCTACTTCGAAGTCAAATTACTAGGCCTCGGCGGAAGGTCTAGCAGCAGGCCTGCCGAACCTAGCGGGTTCGCTATTGGATATGTGGCAAAGCCATATCCATCTTGGAGGTCTCCCGGCTGGGAGCGAGGGAGTCTCGGCGTCTTCTCTGATGATGGCTGTCGCTTTGTGAATGACTCCTGGGGCGGGAAGCCTTTTACAAGTGAATTCCGCGAAGGAGAAACGGTTGGCCTAGGAATGTTGTTTCGACAGTCATGCGATAAAAACAGAGTTGATGTAACCGTATGCTTTACTCGTGATGGACAACAGGTGGGGGCTTGGGATCTTGCTGAGGAAAGAGATGAGGACTCCGGCGGAATTCAGGGGTTAGAAGGAGATTTCGACCTCTATGGGGCTATAGGGCTTTTTGGAGTGGTGGAGTTTGTTGTGGAGTTTAATCCCACAGCTTGGCTATGGACTCCATAATATGTTGTTTGATCTACTCGCACGTTAGTTAGCCTCGATGCTGGCGCACGTATATTGCAACTTGTTTGTTTGCACTACGACTCTGGCTCAACTGGACCTCGGAGTCGGAGTAAAGCCTTGGGATACACCTTAGTAATGAACTCTTATGCTCGCATGGGAAGGATTGGAAGAATCCTGCAGTACAGGCAGGAACAAATGTATTCTGCCATATTGCTGCACATTCCTATATGTGCGCACATGCAGGCAAAACTGGACCTGCCTTTGATGGTAAATCAATCAATATATATGAAAACTAGCAAGTCGTGAAAAGCCAAGTCGGCAGAATAACCTGACAGCTGAGGTGGGGGCAAAGATGAACAGAACAGGCAGCTGGTACTCGACACCTACAACGCTAAGAAATGAGATCTTCTAGAAAGAGACCTGCAGATTGGCTGAGGATTCCCCTACTGATGCACATGCTCAGTATATTAGTGTACAGGGGGAGTTTAACCGCATTTCCGCTGATGCTGTCAACGGACGACGGGAACCATAAAAGGGGGGAAAGGACATGGTTCTCAAGCCGATATGCGAGCACTGACGTCACACCTCAGACAGATCATACATGTCCTATACTCCTGTATAGCCTTCATCAATGGGGACTGATGAGCACTCATTCCCGATAGAAGAAGAAATCGGACAATTCCTATGATGCTGCTTGCCGTAAAGTGGAATTGGGGTATGTAGCATAGTAGCCATAGTAACTATCAGATAGTCTTATCTCCTCCGCCTTGGAAGATAAGCATGAATATGATGGAGTTGCAGATGAGACTGGAAGAAGTCGGCAGATCTACGGTACCCAAATTGGAATGTATGTATAGTACAGTGCGTAAAATATAGTATGAAACTAGTTACCCAGCTTTCTGTTGTATTGGAGTCAACTTGTAAATCTGCACATGCATGACTCTCTAGTCCAAAAACATCCGTCAATCGATTGTGATTTATGGCCAAAAGAGGTTGGCAGGATCGCTGCGGACTGCTACTTTGATTCGGTTATTGTACAGTAGGTGTAAGTAGCTTGGTGCTTCATCATGGTACTGTATATACAAATGTCGGTTCGGACACCGCCTGGTAATTCTGCCCCCAGGAGTTTTCACGGCTTTCGCAAAATGGAGGTTAAAAGGAGAGGGATGCTAGAAAGCCAAATTCAGGATATGAGTGCGCAGTTCGTGGAGTAGGTACTACATTTTTGTAGTGGAGTGGAATGACCAGAGGGGTATCCTGCTGCTGCAGCTGCCATCCACTACTGTGACCTCACGGTATAATGAAATCCTATTATACGAATTTACGCCATACAACGAATTTCCAGAAGAGCCTGATGAGTTTTACCATACAGATTTCGCTAATTCACCTTATAGCGAATTTCGTTACATTAGCTTTTCTCCCCCATACAAATTTTCAGAATTCCAATATATCAAAGGCCTAAAATTTGCCTAAATAGGGAAAAACCGGGTCAAAAGCGAGTGTTCTGCTTAATCAGCTAGCCTCATATCCTTGGTAAATCACGTGAATATCTATTTACATCTATTCTATATCACAACAAGCACTATATAACGAATTCGGACCCGCGCCTCTATCATTTCTTTATACCGTGAGGTCACAGTACTCGTATATTTGCGAAGCAAGTTGAACTTAGAACGCCTCTTGTGAGGGAACTGGGAAACCACAAATGGCCTGGTCAAGCTCCAGTAACCCGTAGCACCCCCACTCCCCCCAATAGCAAATCCTACAAATGCTCTCATGTAGTAACTAGAGAGAGCAGGCTGAAGCGGGTTGCTTAACGCCTTGCTCAATTCCGGCCCATGCTATCCGGTAGATATACATACAGTGCCACAAATCACCCGTCTTCAATCTTAGCACTCGATCATCACCATATTGAGGATATTGCAGGACACAGCATGAAGCTTACGGAGGATCAGGCTGACACTTCACATTTGGAATGAAAATATCATGAACGGAAGTCCAAAAGCCCTATAGAAGAGAGTAATAGAGTGTGAATGCCGGTACTCGCAGTGGTGTGGCTTGTCGGCATTGGAAGTAGATCAATTTGCACCCTACGTTACAATGCTGTATGTACGAGTACTCTAAGTAAACCGTGTCTGCCTTGCCACTCCTCTGCATTCGTTGGGACCGTTCCCTGTACGTCTTCTGCTTGGTTAGTAATGCCATGCATTTCTGCTATCAATCATTAGGTATTCACTCAAGCTTGGTCGAAACTGGGAACATGAGACTAGGAGTGCTATGTGTCTGTCTAAACGCAGCAAGTTTCCTGAATAGCCGGTCCACGGCGTCTAGATAAATGAATAGTGCCAACCTAGTCTACGACTACGGAGTAGTCAGTTTCCCCTCGCTCATCGCTGCCGGATCCGTAACGTGCGGGCCGCAGGCTTTGCAGTGTTCTACCAACCATCGGACGCTTATTGTGGAAGCGGGTTCACTTGCAGCAAAGAATTGCCCCATAGCGTGTGCGGCCCCAATTTACTCCTACATACGAGTATTTTTGTATGGGTATGTACTGCGTACTGTAACTTACATGGAAGAGGATCCCACCAGTAAGTACTAGGCTGCGCTAAATACTAGGCTGCGCTAAAATGTGCACAGTCCGCCTTCACCAGAAGATAATATCACTCAAACGGAGTCCATCTGAAGACTGTAGGTCTACCAGGTGTATTGCTCTGGAAGACGAGGCCTACGTTGGAGAGCTATTTCCGGCAATTGATCTCACAGAGCCACGGCCGAGTGAATCATAGGCCCCTTTCTCATACTCGAGCAAAGTTGCGTGATATCAACTTGCGCATATTTTCACCTCGAGTCTAGATAAGTACGGATTCGGATAGCTAGATTGAGTGGTGTCGTATAAACACGGCTGGCGTGCTGATCGACCGCATACGCTGCATGTCATCTCCCTCGTTGATCGATGGGGAACGGAATCTGTCATAGTTTCCTGATAAGCGCGACCTTGGTATGCGGGTAAAAGATAATGCCAGTGTAAGCGGCACTTCATATAGAAGTTTAGGCCTCTGAGGCAGGTCGCAGTGAGCACTTCGGTGAACATTAATATAGCCTTGATAGGCAAACCAGCGTCTGTTGATAATGGGCTAGCTCTGCATCTCACTCCCGCCACAAGCATTCGCCGGTAGATGGCATGTAAACTATTTCATTTGACGGTCAGGATGTCTTCACACACCTATGCACAATATAGTACATATTGAGCTATTTGAAATCTTTGGTGGATAGGGTACCTAGTGTTCTGAGCACGGCATATTATGTGTTGTGCAAAACCTAGCTTATTAGTAGCCAATCCTCACACTGAATCATGAACCTGGTCACGAATCAATTGGACAACATCGAGGGATGTGTGATGAGATCAGTGTTCAACCTTTCTACTTAGCTACTAGTACAAGCACTGAACACCACCCTTCAACTCATACCATGTAGTACTGCGTGCTCTGTATAACAACAGCTGACTAATATGACCTGACTAATATGACCCGATTCGCGACTTCTTCCTGTACGTACTCAGGGTGCCCATCACAACATACGAGCAGCGAATTGTGTGGGCGCGCCGGAATGGATACTTCCTCGGTCATTCCCGGGTATATGTGGAGAGAGACGAAGTCTAGTACATAATACCAGATATGTCCGTGCAGCAGCCGAGATATGTCCTGTACGCGTCTGTTTTACTCGCCTATATGTCCAAGCCACACCGTTGGCAAGTCATGTTAGGCAGATCAGCTCTACGCCCTTGCTGTGAAACTTTTGGTAGCTGACCGAGGAGGAATCAAAACAAGGTTCATTAATTAGAATTCGTGAATACTCATTAGATCACTAAACCCCTGTCACCTCAGTTGAACGAACGGATTTCTGACTACCTAGAGCCAAGAGGAATAAAACAAGCGGGCTAAGTACAGTACCGTAATGTACATGCAGAGCACTCGAAAAGGGTCGAGCATCAAATCGGCAGACTTGACCCGCACGGACGTACGTGTCTGGCTACATCTTCCGGATGTTTGTGTAATCCTCCGAACCGTATTTAGTGCCGAGTCAAGACGAAGTTCATACACGGGCGGTAATATACGAGAATTTATTGCGCTGTCATTGGGTAAAAACACTCACTTCTATACCGGGCCTAGTCAGTCGGGCGGTCCTCGGAGTCCGTAAATCTCCCATCACAACAAATACAACCATTTTTCGCAACTAGATTCGACTGCTCAATCATAGAACACTGTGCTCTAACTTACCGTTAAGAGAACACCAGGTTAGCTTGGAAGCTTTCTGTTGAGTATGTGACACTATCTGCAAGCCTGCAACCGCCCCGCCGAGTTCTGAAGCACATAACCGTTTAAGGTGACTTGCAGGAGCATCCACTTCCATCTGCAGCCACTAGTAAGGCTGGCGGGCTACAATTCACCTAGCACACTAGCAAGGAAAGGTAGGATCCATCCATTGTCCATGCAACTGCCATTCCGGGAGTAGTCTGCGGAAGAAGGCATCCCTAGATAAAAGATAAACGATTGCACGATCACGAAAAGCCCACAGAATTCTTGTGCGCCAAGCCAGAATCGTTGGGATAATGCGAGTCTATCCTTAGACAAGAGGTGGAGCTCGGGCCGCACGTTCACGTTATGATAAGCAGACGCAGAAGCGGTTCAATGAGAGCAAGGGAAATGGGTGGATCCTTGAAGCATCTCTATGCTACGTCTGTAGTCTGTACAGCACAATACTAGTCGCTCTATATTTGGAGCTAAAGTGTGAACAGCGGTCCTGATTATACTATTGAGAGATGAATTCTACGAAAACGCCGTTTGACTTGGTAACAACTCAATTAGTTGTGTTGATCTCCAACGGAACTCCATAAGAGTATCGAGGTCAAGACTCCCAGCAGCGAGATAAGTGACGCCGGTTCTCACGTATGAACCTACACCATAGAAGGGTGACCAGACTGGTGGGCTCCGAGAACGGACAAGCCAAGGGTGTAGCAAGTGGGTTAAAGACCCCAATCTTGTTGCAAGTCCTGCTTGGTAGTAGTAGGAAAATAATCTAGCTGGCGAGGGGCGCCGTCAATTCAATGTCCCTAGCAGTTCTAGAATTGCTCCCAGCCAAGGCGATTGCCTTACTAGTGTACTACTACCTACCTCCTAG